TGCTTCCAAGGTCTCTCTTGCCCATCAAATTTCCCTTCGAAGACGGTGCGGCACTCTCAGAAATGTAAATGTGCTTTTAGCGGTGTTTTCTCTGTGAGCGGCTCATTAAATTATTGCCTGTTAAAGAGTGTCAATCGCTCACTGATGTTATCACCCTCCACTTAGAGCACGCCCTTTTGTTTGGACTCTAACTGTTTAAAACGGATGTAATCAGCACTGAGATAGTGCAGCTGCCGGCATTTAGGTAGCGTGTTAAGATATCATTCCTGTGGGCAGATGATTCTCTTGCGTGTCTTGATCCGCCTGAAGTAGAGTGTGAGCATTTATTGGTGAGGAAGATCTTTGTGAGAGAAATGATGCTGGTCTAAAAATATAACCAAGCTCTCTTTTACAGTTCTTTGTTTCTCACTTTCTTTTGGTTTGAGTGTTCTTGTAGAATGCAGGAAATGAGAGTGTAGTTTGAGTTTAAGATTTTTTTCTATTGGGATTGCTCTCAACAATTGCTATGTTAGGGGAAGCGTTGTATATTTGGTATATCACATATCTCTCGTTAAGCAGGATCTTAAAGAGTGTCTTTAAACAGATAGTCTGGTGACCCTTTTTCTACTGCAATATTGCAAGTGTTCGGCCTTACATCACGCATATGTTTTAGATGGGTATGACCTGTCATAACGGCGTGGGAAGCATAAAAATGAGCCTCAGTTGTGTGTACGTGTGCATGCTAGTGTGTCATGGAGGGAAATGTTGTGTGTTGCAGCTGTTTTGATTCTTTTTACTTGACATTTACGAGGATCGTGAGGTTCATGTGTGCGTAGTTTTCCGTTGCCTACTCCTTGAGTTGCACCTTTCAGGCCAATTGCTCCCATGGTCCCTATTTCTCAAAAAAAAAAAAAAAAGTGCTTTAGGCGCTGCCGATGCTGTGGGACTCTGAAAAGTGTACATGCTTTCTTTTTTAGAATGATTTTTCTTCATATTTTTAGTGGCCTATTCCTTGGGCTGTGTCTTTGAAGATTCTGTGTCAGATTATTACTCCAGTTACCACCCTTTGTGGGTGATTAAACTATTCCTCTGAATGCTAGATACTGGGTACATTTACAATGCTGCTCGAGAAACAAATGTTCCAGGATTATTTGTTTAAATGGATGGACTGTCTGTAAAAAGAGCCATGGACAAAGCAGCATTTTGTCTTAGTCGTATATAATTTGTATAGATTTTTCTCTCCATTTTCTTTTCTCATTAAAAGTAGCTCTTTTTTCATGGCATTTTCCTTCCATGATGGACTCTTCTTCTTCACTCTTTGTGGGGACATCTTGTAAATATGGTTCTGTTAAGTAATAGAGTGTCACCGAGGATTGGTCCTTATGAACCTACTGCACGGTAGGTTTAACATTATTAATATTAGCAGTAGTAGTAGTAACTATTTCTGCCTGGTAAGATTCTTTCACTTTTGGATATTTCTAAAATTAGCCACATTCGTCATGACTGGTATTTAGGCCCCATGTGCCAGACAGTAGATTTTCCCTTAGAAAGGCATGCCAGGAGGAGCTATTTTCATACATACCTTTAATGTTTAAAGCTGTAAATGGAATGGCTTTATTATATTTATGTTTGCAAAACATGCTTCTGAATGAAATGCTCTTGTTTGTGGTATAAGCAAGGGCAAAAACTCAGACTGTTATATGGCATGTGCAGGCAGTGCAAGGAGAGGCTACATAAGGACTTGGAAGAAGGTAGGTGGGTCAGCTGTTGACTAAACAACACTTTTTTTTCATTATTTCTGCCAAGGCTCTGTCAGGAATAACAAGATCCTCTTATTCACCTCCTTAAGGGCGGTGACAGTCCTGAGTCCTGGGTGTTTATTCAATAACTGTATAATATTTTATAACCATTTGTAGAAATGCTACATGCCTAGGATGCTTCTGAATGAAACTCTCTTAGTTTTGGCATAGGTAAGGCCAAAACTGCAATGGAGAGTTTCACTGTGGTTGTATTTCTGGGTTCCTGAATTTGAGCTATCTTCAAGCTTGAAATCTTGCAGGAAGTCTTCTTAGTAGATGTTTATGCAGTGGTCTTTTGCTCTCAAACTGTCAGAGTTGTGTTGCAATATCTCTCAAACGCCTCTAAGTAATGTGAAGACTCTAGGACTTCCATATAAGGCCGGGGTTCAGTGAATAAGATTTATTCCTTTCCTTCCCTACATAACAACCTCCTCTTTTTTCCTGTGTTTTTTTCTTCTTGTGGTGCTCTCTTCATTAAGGTGTCCTGTACATACAGATGCATTAAGAGGTCACGGGGATTATCCTACTCTACTGTAGGTCAGCAGTGCCCTATTATTTTAGGAATAAGGCCCCACGTATTCTCAGCAAGAGTGGAAAAAGATATAAGAAAGGCTGCATTTTTGTGATGAGTTACTTCTGAATAACCTCTCAATAACCACAGAAGCCTGCTTGAAAAACATCGTGGCCTGTTTCTTGAGACAGGTCTTCAGAGCCTATGCCATGTTCCTTGAGTCAGGTCTTCAGAGCCTATGCCAAGTTATTATTTGGTTCACCATCTTTTGCTTGTAATTCAGCTGTTCCTGTGAATGTTAGGTATTGGAAGTGGCTGTGCACTTTGCCTTGGGAGTGAATATGTGTCCATATTATAGCCCATTCTGGTCTTGGCCTAGGAGATGCATAAGTTCAAAACCAGCCACTATTGGGACTTATTGCTGGTTCATCAATTGACACCGCTTGTGGCAGCATTTCTAGGCAGGTTGAAGAATTCTGTCCATGTAGACATAGGTTAGGTAGAAGAGATGCCTGAAATACAGTTTTGAGTGGGTGGGTGAGTGTAAAATTTGGTCTTGGTCATATGATGTCATATGATATCTTAGATGTCTTTATAATACATCCCCTGGGAGTAAATAAACTGAAAGATCATGCCATGACTCCTTCAAGAGTTTGCTTTACAGAGTGGGCTTTTCTCTTTGAACCTACCTGTGGTGTCTTGCAGCAAATGCTTAATTCCAAGTAAGACAAGTGCACATCCACCTGAAGACTGAATTCTTGCATGTGAGGAAGAGAATGTCTCATATAGGCTGTTCTACCCTGCATGAGATTGTGCTTCAGCCAGAGGCCTACAATAAAACATTCACACTTCTGGCTTCAGGAGTTTTCATTCCTTCTGCTGAGATTGTGCCAGGAACAACAAGATTCTCCTTTCGTGTTCTTTGAGGATGGTGACAGGCCTCTGAAGCCTGGGTCTTCAAGCAATAACTGCGCAATGTTTTATAACCCTCTATACAAAAGCTATACACCTAGAATTCCTAGCAATTGCTCTAGGATGTCTCACTTTTCCACCTGTGTGGCTGCAATGGAGAGTTTCACCATAGTTGTATTTTGGGGTTCCTGACCTTGAGCCATCTTCCAGCTTGAAGTCTTACTCAAAGATTTCCCAGTTGATCTTTATGGACTGTCCTTTTGCTCTGAAGTTCTGAGGGTAGTGTTGCAATTAACACTTTAATTATCCAGACAAGCTCACAACCACCTGAAGTCAGAGTTTTATGATAGAGGAAACTGAAGCAGAGGAGCTAAACTGATATCTCTCACAATATCTCTAAGTGAATAGAAGGTGGGCATAAATGTTGGTCTTAGGAAACTAAAACACTTATAGCTGCAGCTTCATTTCATCTTATTTTTGTTATATCTGGCTGGGGAAATGTGGCAATGTTCTATGCTGGCTGTGGGTGTGAGGAGATGTTACTTACTAGATGTCTTTATAATGCACGTCCTACCAGGGAAATAAACTGCGGTGATTTCTTCATTTCAGTATCCTTCAAATTTTAGTGTTGTTGTCATGATCTAAAGCATCTCAAAGTATCTGACATTGCTTTAAAATCAATATGTCCTGTACATATATGAGTGGAGGAACAGTTTGATAGATCCCTGTGTTTCAGCAAGAACCATAAGACACATATTTGCTTAATATTTTTTGAAGACAACTCTTCTCAACTCTCAACTGAGGCCTAAGTGTGACCTAAATGCATACATTACCCTGTTGCAAGGAAAGGGTTGTCAGGCAATGCATTGAGGGTGGGAGAGTGGGTAAAAGAGTGCAGGATAGGTTGCTCAGTTTGCATTTGGCTAGACAATATTTTGATAACATGCCTTCTGCCCTTGTTGAGGGCATTTATGCTAAGACTCCGTTATCGCAATCCTTAAAGGGGTGACAATCCTCTGATGAATCCTTGGTAAATACAGGTGCTGATTATGTCTCATAATTCCCCAAAAAGCTTTTTTTTTTTTTTTTTTTTTTTTCACTTGCTTGGCCTTTTTACACCATGATAGAGAGTACCATCAGAGCTGCATGTGGGTTTCTTAGGCCTGAGCCACCTTCATGCCTAGTTTGCTAGATGTCTTCCCAGGTCACATGTACAGAGTGGGCTTTTGATCCCAGTAGTTTTTTGGGGTTTTGCGTTTGTTTGTTTGTTTTTCAACAAAATGCATACTTACAAGCAAGACAAGCTTGTATCCACCTAAAGAACGACAGAGGCCTACACTGAGACATTCACACTTCTGCTCGCCTCCTGAAGCCAGACAACAGGATTCCGAAATCCATGAACACAAGTGAAAGATTTGAAAACAAACTCCTGTCTATAGAGACAAAAGAAAGAATTTAGGGCCTAGCTTGTAACTTGAGGGATCACTGCCCTTCCTGATCCTCTGCAGGTACATTCTAGGCAGAGCTGTGGCAGAACAGCTGTCAAATACATCCACTGAATGATTGCCTTGAAGGTGCCAGTTAGAGGTTCTGCCATGGTCAATCATCCAGAAAGGCAGAGAGAACCGGGCTCCTGCTTTTTAGCTATGGTAGAGATTTCTCTTTACTCTCACATGCAAGTCACCTCTCATGCACCTCTCTCAAGATGGCCACACACTAACCTGGTATGGTCTGGTCCAGAATGTTTCTGCCAAACACCAGCTCCTTCTGGGCTGTTCTAATCTCTTAAAGGCCTCAAACACATGTTCTGCCTCCTGGTGTGCCAACTTGTGTTGCCCAGGAGTATTAATTAAGCCAGCCAGAGCTTTTCATGGACAGCATAGGAGTGAGTTTCAGGATGGAGATTGTTCTCTCCTTTTCACAATCTAGCTGGCACTGATACACCAAAAGAGAAAGTTTAACAGGGAGGTGAGTTCCCTTAGCATCATCAGTACCTCTGGGTTCCATATTTCTCAATTAATATGATATTTTAAAAAATCTAGAAAAACACAGAACAGGGCAAACTTCATTATGCAGTGGTATGCAGAGTATGGTATGTACTAAAAAAAAGGAGGTGACACAGGGATTGCAGGGAATATGAGGCTACTTGATGGGTAAAAAACATGTGGTTTGCCACCTGGTACACAGAACAGAGGTGTCCACTGTCCTTGAATACTAGGCTCACTTGCTCATGGCCTCAATGTAGTGATGGGGTGATTAACAAGTACAGTGGGACCGTGTACTTAAACTCAATGCTTGCAAAGCAGGGTGAAAATGCCATTTGGGGGTCACTGAACTGAGAAGCAAGTGAGAGAGGGCTGCCTCTGAGCCCTCACTTATGACTGAGTGCTGTGCAAAAGGCATTCCCAAGCCAGGAGTGACAGAAGAGTGAATTTTGTGCATCCTTTTGTGCATGTATGTCTATGAAATTGATAGTATGAGATGTTGAACCTAAAGGCCTTTCCTAGGGCTTATTGAGAGATACTGTCTGCTTGATAGAATGACAGTGATGAGGGATAAGAATTCACATGGCTGGATGGAAGCCAGGGATTGTCTCTTCCATCAATAAGACGGGGCTCTATCCTGCTTTGTCAAATGTGAGGAATCATCCTTCTGTGCCTACATAATATTTAGGGGTCATCCCTGTGCTCGTGTCTAGAAATCTTTCTGTCTTTCAAATGGAGATGCAGTACCATTTGCTTATAGCTTACAGCCTAATCGAGTCAAATTGCATAGGACATAGTTGAAGTTTTACATCACTTTCCAAACAGAATGCTCTTAGGCCAAGGTGCAAAAGCAGCACCTGTCTATGCCCTGAATGAAATAGAAGTGTCTGAACCACAATATCGTGGCCTTTTCCTTGAGTCAGGTCTTCAGAGCCTATGCCATGTTGGTATTTGGTTTAGCATTCTTTGCTTGTAATTCAGCTATTCCTGTGAATGTTAGGTCGTAAGTTCAAAAAGAGCCACTATGGGGTCTTATTGCTGGTTCATCAATTGACACAGCTTTTGGCAGCATTTCTAGGCAGGTTGCAGAATTCTGTCCATGTAGACATAGGTTAGGTGGAAGGGATGCCTGAAATATTGTTTTGAGTGGGTGGGTGAGTGTAAAATTTGGTCTTGGTCATATGATGTCATATGATATCTTAGATGTCTTTATAATACATCCCCTGGGAGTGAATAAACTGAAAGATCATGCTATGACTCCTTCAAGAGTTTGCTTTACAGAGTGGGCTTTTCTCTTTGAACCTACCTGTGCTGTCTTGCAGCAAATGCTTAATTCCAAGCAAGACAAGTGCACATCGACCTGAAGATTGAATTCTTGCATGTGAAGAAGACGAAGCAGAGAATGTCACATATAGGCTGTTCTACCCTGAATGAGATTGTTGCTTCAGCCAGAGGCCTACAATAAAACATTCACACTTCTGGCTTCAGGAGAGGAATAGACCCCCCAGATACTCCCTGTACAGGGTACAAAATTCCATAAACATTGACAAAATGTGTGAAAACAGCCTCTTGTCTATAAAGCTCAAAGGGAGAATTTAGGGGACAGTTCGCACCTTGAACACTCGCTGACCTGCCAGATGCTCTGCAGGTACATTTTTGCGGGGTTGTAGCAAAATAGCTGTAAAATACATCCATGGAATAACTGCCTCAAAGGGGTCCAATGGAGGTTTTGGCATCATCAGTAATCCAAAATTCACAGAGAGAACAGGGCTACTACTTTGTTATACTGCTGCTCTGCTGTTGTGATCTCTTAGAGGCCTGCAGACAGATGACCTGCCTCTTGATGGTCCACCTTGCCCAGCACAGAAAACAGGCCTTCCCAAATGGCAGATGGAAGGTCACAACTGCATGCACAAATAATTTTAGCTGGATATGATACCCTCAGGCTGCATAAGGCTGAGTAATTTTCGCTTGGAAGATCCCCAAGGCATTCTGCTCTCAAGTTGTTTACAGTAGACCTCAGACTTCAGAGTTTCAACCAAGTCAGCCTGATGTTTTATGGACCGAATTCATGCCAATGTCAGGACTGCCCAGGGCTAACAGTCTACATAGTTTTGTACTTTTTCTGACAAAGCTGGTACTGATACAGAAAAGGAGTGAATTTAACAGTCCTTTGGGTTATGTTAGTATGGTATCATGAGCAGTACCTCTAGGTTCCTTCTTTCACAATCAATATGATTTGCTCCCTCTTTTTTGTCTAGAAAAGCACGTCACAGAACAAAATTCACTATGCAGTCTATCGGGTGTACTAAATTCACTATGTATAATATGGGGTGTACTAATAAAAAGGAAGGTGATAGAGGGATTGAAGGGAATATGAGGGTTCTTAATGGATAAAAGCTGTGTGTTTTGCCCCCTGACACACAGAACAGCTTTTGTGGAGGTCTCTGAGGATACAAAGAATGAGTCTTAATACATCCTTGGGAAAACAGTCAGGGCTGGGATCACCAGAAATTTAGACCACCAGTGTCCTTGTTTGCTAGGTCCATGTGTGCATGACATCAGTAATGGGGTGGCCAACGGGTACAAGAACAGTGCGGCCTTCACCTGAAACTCAATGGTTGCAAAGCTTTGTGAGAAATTCCATTTGGGAGATGGGTTCATTGAGGAGAACAAAGAGTTTGAGGTGTTTAAGGGATGAAAATTGAGTCACATGTGTCTATGGCTATGCTGTGCAGGCAACCTTTGAGTCCTTAGGATGAATGGTCTGCATAAGACATGTTTCTCAGTGAGGAGGAACAGAGGAGTGAATTGTGTGCATCAGAAAGCAGTGTTTGTTTACAAAATTGGTACTATGACTTGTTGAAACCAGTCTTTCTGAGGTATTCTTCAGATAAGATATTGGCAGTTTGTTAGAATCCCCTCAGTATTGGGACAAGTGAGTTCAGGTTGTGCATGTAATAGGAACTCTCTCTCAGGGCTCATGTATTCCTGCTCTTAGGTAAATGTCTGTGGCAAGCCAAATCTCTGTGGCAAGTATGGGAATCACCCTCGTGAACATACAGAATATGTTTTGCTGTCTCTCAAAAGGAGATGCTGTATCTCTATTTTTTATATAGAGATTGCAGCCTCTTCATGGCCCCCCAAGTATAACTGAAGAGCTAGAAACCTTGGTAGAGCATGGGAGGTTAGAGAATCATGCTGGGACATCTACTAGGGAAGATAAATGCTTTGATGGGGAATTTTGTGCTTTTATCACTCCCTGAAAGCTGACAGACTATTAGAATAGGGCTCGACCTTGAAAGTAAGTTAAATTACAGAGGAAATCCAGGGTTCCAGGGTTACATCACTTTCCAAACAAGAAACTCTGAAGGCCAAGATATGAAAGCTGCACCTGGCTAAGCCCTGCATCAAAGACCAGTGTCTGAACACTGCAAATGCCACCAAGAACGGTCACTGTTCATGGTTGTGTGATACATATGGTGCTGGAAAACATAACACAAAAGGAGATTACCTTGGCTATGCCTCACATAGGCAGCATTTCTGGCCCAAACAAGGCAAATAGATATACTGCATATGATTAGCGAGATACTTCCTTCGCTGCCGACAAATGAAAAGTTGGCCCTGACTTACCGCAGCTGTTCCCGTACAGGACGACCGATTCCTTCCCCGAGATGACTTTCTGTGACAGCACGGAGTGCCACACGCAGGGGACTTTCCGCGGGGCCCTGTGGCGATGCGGGCGGGCTGCAGTGGCGTCGCGGGGACTCTGGGTGCCGCTGTTGTCTGATGTGAAGGACCGCCGGAGCCGGAGCCGCCGCAGCCTCCTGGATCGGAGCCGGAAGAGAAGAAAGGCGGAGAAGAAAGAGCACAGCAG